GATTAGGAAGTGGTATCTGTGCATGATGGTGGTTTGCTATCAACCAAGAACAGAAGGACATTCACAGTGTACACTTTAGCTGAGATAGCTCTACTCTCCCCCCCCCTTTTTTTTGTCCCCTATACAGGCTGCTGCTGCTGTTGCTGCTACTTCAGTGTCTTAAGACAGATAGGGAGAAGGGGAAGGATCATACAGCATCATCAGGAACTTCTGCTTCATTCTTTCCCTGCTCCTTTAATGGAGCAAGGTCAGCACCTACTCACTCTCTTGCCTGCCAGCCATCCAGGGACGTCTGGAAGTTGGCATCAAAGAGTCAAGATTTCTGACACCACCCCGCTTTACAGACACATTAAAAAAGTGTAGGGTTTTCTTTGTGCAATTGCAGCTGCCATCTTGACTTTGTTGAACCCTCCCTGTAGCTGTCCCCTGTAGCCATCTCTTTCTCTGTCTTTGCTGTGCACATCCGGCTGATTGTTTTCTATTTCCTTTGCCCCGGCTTTGGATGATGGGATGGGGTGGGATGGGGTGGGATGAGATGGAGAAGGAAAAGAGCTGGGGAGATGGAAGAGGGAGGAAGGAGGAAGGAGGGAAGGTCTACCCTGGCTTCCTTTTCCAAGGGTCTTCTCCTGCCCACAAAGATGGGTTGGAGGAGAACAAGCCAGAAGGGAAGGGAGGGGCATGCAGACCAGTTGTTTCAGCACTGAGTGACCAGGTGGAGGCTACATGGTCTGAATACAATACTTTTGCCAATCTTGGCATCTTGAACAATACAAACGGTTGAAGGCCAAGTCTGTGCAAAAGGAAACCCTACCAGACTGATTGTTAGTACAGCTGGTAAGAATATATGCACTCTACTGCCTTTTCCTCAACATTCAGCTTGCTGTCTAGCTTGAAAAACCTGAATGCACTAATGCTGGTAGGATGTGGAGCCTTTTTTGGAAAAGCTGGAGAAAAGCCCTTTTGCTTGGTTTTCCCATCCAAGATTTAAGGTCTACACAGAATTAATGCCACAAGGAGACAGGAAAGAGCTGTAGGGACAAGAAGCAATGGGAAACTGACAGATGTGATGCATCGTTCGGCAACAGCTACTTTTGACCCAGCTGGCAGAGAACCCTTCAAAATGGAGATGCAGAAACAGTCCCAAGATTAATCTCTCTTGCAATACAATTTGGGATTTATTAGATTTGACCATTAAGAATTATGGGATGACTTGAATATTGGGAAGGAAGATGCTGCGTTAGCTAGTTCTGATGAAAATGTCGATCTTCATGTACATGTAACCAGTAGAGCCACAACACAAGTCACTCCAGTGCCTTGTGGAAAATGAAAATGGCAGCTAAGCAAATTCAGGATGTTACAGCTGTGGTTCATAGAAGCATTGATTCAGGCAGGGTTGATGACAGTAACGGCAGCAGCTGTGCAGATGTCATTACTCAACAGAATGGACCTACCACTTTAATTTATCACAGTGCCACTGGGCACTGTTGTACCTTTGCTCCCATCATTATGGAAAATTAAATATTAAAATGACCTTTCCTATCAGTATGAGTAAGGGAAGGGAAAGGGAAATCGTTGTGCACTGAAGTGGAGCATTGGTCTAAGGATTCTGTTCTACTGTAGAACTGGGTAATCTAAAACAGGGTTCCTCAACCTTGCTGGCTGGGGAATTCTGGGAGTTGAAGTCCACCCGTCTTAAAGTTGCCAAGGTTGAGGAACCCTGGTCTAAAACACTTCAATCATAATTATCTTTGGTGAACTATTGGATAACATATTTCTTTTTTTTTTTTTACTTTTGTTTAGTTCTCCCCAAATTAAAAAAAAAAAAAAAGTAATATGCTATCCAATAGTTCACCAAAGATAATTATGATTGAAGGGTTTGAGACCAGGTTTCCTCAACCTTGGCAACTTTAAGACGGGTGGACTTCAACTCCCAGAATTCCCCAGCCAGCAAGGTTGAGGAACCCTGGTCTAAAACACTTCAATCATAATTATCTTTGGTGAACTATTGGATAACATATTTCTTTTTTTTTTTTTACTTTTGTTTAGTTCTCCCCAAATTAAAAAAAAAAAAAAAAGGAAACTAGAAAGTAGAGGGAGGTCATATGGATTTTCTGAAGTATGGGCTAATCTCCACAGCCTCCCTGTGCATCTGTGCATTGACCATCCATGCAGAGCGATTCCTTTCTCGTGAGCTATAGCTGTTTCCTTTATCCTGCTTCTTTTGATCAAACTGGTTTTGCAGACTGCTGAAGCTATGAAAAGAAGTACTGATCCACACCTGAAGCCACTTTTTGGGTACCGCATTGGGTTGGGAATATTATATTCCAACCTACTTTAAAAGAGCTGCCTGTTAGATGATTGCCTGTATCAGTAAATGATAACACCCAGCAGTGTGGATATAGCTTTTCAGACACGCAGACAAGTCACATGCAGGTGTCGATGAAGATCAGCAAGGGGGATATGGCCTGTAAGCTGCTATGATGGAAAAAAGACAGCTGGGAAAAACGGAGGTCAATTCAACTTTGTTATTTCTAATTAAAAATAAACTGTGTTTTTGCTATCAGGGAATTGGTTAGCATTCCATTAGTATCCTCAGAGGGAGGAAAGGGGGAACATGTTTTCGTTTGTTTTATTCTTATCAACATTTGTAGGGAGAATAACCTCTGGTTATAAAGGTAGGTGAGCCTGAAAGGTAATAAAGAGCAGTCTAATGTCATTCGGCACATTTCCCCTTTTAAGAACCATACATAATTCTTCAGTGTTGCTTTCTTTTTTATGCTGTGTGCATCCTTGGTTTTTATTTCACCTGCTCTTGGATTTTGAGTGGGGTGTAACACTGCAGACTTGGGGGTGGGGGAGGGGTGGGATTCTAAGTACTTTCTCATGTGCAAAAAATAAAATAAAATCTCACTGCAGGAAGAAAACCTGAACATGACAATGTTTCTAGCTCAGCTTTTTTCTCTAGAGAGACCAGTTTTAGAAGGCTGGTTCTAAGGTACTTTTTAAAATCGAGACTGGAAATTGAGCTGTTGATTACAGGCTGGAATAATGCACAGAAGTGGGAGTTGGGAACAGTATAACTTCTGCTTTTTTTCTCTCAACTTTATCTACTCAAGTACACATGCAGGAAAGGAGGGACTGGGAAGAGAGAAGGAAATGCACACCCTAAAAATATTCAAAAAGAAAG